GGGGAAATATAACCTATTTGGCAAGACAAATACGCGTCCCTGGCGGCCTGACAAGATAAGGTGCCGGGCGGCGCTTCTGTGTTTACCTCAGCCGACCAACCCGAGCGAGAGGCCGCCCCGCCCGAGCCTTCTGCGCTCATTAGTCATCAAGCAGGCGGAAATCCAACAAGTTTGGAGGCCCGCCGGGAGCCAGAGGAGCCCGGCCAGGCGCGGTTAAAAGGCCCGCTTACCGGGTGGAAAAGGAAAAGGGGGGGGGGTAGAGATGTGTCTAGCTAGCTGTCTATACCTTTGACTGGTTGTGGTCGGCCGAATTTGTCCACTCATGATGTCTTACAGGCATTCTCATCTTGTTCATACCAGTTTTTTTTTGTTTTTTTATTTTTTTTTTTTAACCCTATGCCCGCTTTTTGTAGCTATGAGGTGGCCGTCCAGCCCCGTTGGAGCGGATGGACACCAGCCCGCACGGAAGGCGTGTGGACGGGTTGCCTATGCATGCACTCGGGCGGGCCCTCCTCCCTTCCTCCTATTTCAAAAGTCACTCCGGTCGCCTCGTCAGCCGGGTGCGGTCCATGGACAAAATAAACACACTTAAACCTTTCTGCATTGTGTCGTGCATAATATTGCAGTATTTTAAGGAGACAAAGAGCTATAATTAGGTAAAATTTGTGCCCATTAAAATTTTATGAACTTTTGTGTTCGTAATGAACGTCTGTCAACATGCATTTCTCAATTTGCGAATATGGCTATGCACAAATTTGTGCTCAGTGGACATCGATGGACATACTTAGGCATGAAAAGTTAAGCGCATAAATTAATATGGGTGCTTGTGCCGACATGCTTAATACCACCTTCAGTCCCCTGTATGGTGGGTGGTGGCCATGCTGTGCTGGGAAACGTCATCCCTCAATTAGGGATCATTCAGAAAGTACGTCCGCCATTTGCCGTTACAAAATTGCCCAGTTTTGCCGTTGCAAGCTCTCACGGCGCCTAGTAGGTAGGCAACATCTTTCTTGTAGAGCACGCGTGCACTGCTGGGTGGCCTACCCCACGTTTCGCAGGCGCCGGGCTGCTGTAATTTGCCGTGCGAATCTCAGAAAAGCGGATGTACTTTCTGGACGATCTCTTACTGCTCTGGGACTCAAGGTGTTGAAACTGTGCAAATCTTATTTAAGAGTTTCGTGTGCACTTTATTGTGGTTCAGCTCGCAAGCCTAAACAC